TTAAAAAGATGTGGTACATATACACAATGGAATATTACTCAGCAACCAAAAAAAAAAAAACACATGTCTTTTGCAGCAACATGGATGGAACTGGAAAAGATCATGCTTAGTGAAATAAGCCAGAAAGAAAAGGAAAAATAATGGATGGTTTCTCTAATAGCAGGAATATAACAGAACAGGCCAAAAAAAAAAATAATGACAATGATGAACAGCTATAGATCATAGATATTTTATGGCTGTGGAGTAGGAAATGGGATCAAAAACAGTGGGGGGAGGGAAATTCACTGTACTATGGCAATGGCACAGGGGTGATTTGGTGAAGGGAAACCCAAAGGTATTGCAACTGAGATGAAAAAATGAACAAAAATATGTATAAATAAACTATTATAATTTTTTTTAATGTTCAACATCACTTGTAATAAGGGAAATGCAAATTAAAACTACAATGAGATACCACCTCACAACAGTGATATTGGCACACATTAAAACAAATAGAAACAACAAATGTCAGTGAGGATGTGGAGAAAAAGAAACTCTCCTGTACTGCTGATGAGAATGCAAACTGGTCCAACCACTATGGAAAGCTGTCTGGAGATTTCTCATACTAAAAATAGAGTTTCCATGTAACCCAGTAATCCCACTACAGGTATCTACCTAAAGGATGCAAAAACATTGAACCCAAAGGACACCCACACCCCCGTGTTTATTGCTGCACTATTTACAATAGGGAAGGGGTGGAATCAACCCAAATGCCCAAAAGTAGATGTCAGGATTAAAAAGATGTGGTACATATGCCCAATGGATTATTATTTAACACTCAAAAAAGATAAACTCATGTCATTTGCACCAACATGGGTGGAGCTAGAAGGGATTATGCTTTGTGAAATAATCCAGAAAGAAAAAGAAAAATACCAATGATTTCACTCATAGCAGAGGTGTAGGGTACCACAGGGTGGGGAGAGGGGGGAAGAAAAGAAATTTAATAAATTAAAAATGAAAACAATGAATAACTTTAAACCAGAGACATGTTACATGGTATAAAGGGGAATGGGATCAAAACTGGGGTAGGGAGAGTGCACGGGACTATGGTGATGTCACATGGGTGAACTTGTGGTGGGAAGTCAATGAGGATTATAACTGAGATGAAAAAATGCACAAAATGCAGGATGATGTAAAAAATAAATAACATATTAAAAAATTAAAAATTAAATTAAAAAAATAATAGAACACATTAAATGAGGTGGGGTCACAATCCTTTATTTCAGATTGCCTGTGCTGATGTAACATCTCCCACCACCAAAACCCAAAGTAACTCTCTATAGCCGTCACCACTATCCATCAGTAATGACAAGAACCAGCAACAGATCCAGTACCAAGATCTATTGTTACAACCTCAGCTACATTCATGTGGATTCTAAAATGGCAAGTAAAGTTTCATTTTAATGAAAAATCTTAATAGAAAAAAAAATGGCTAAATAGCTTTATCTTCATCCAGCACGTATGGGTATTATCTCTAAGTAATACTAATAAATCACTAAACAAATATTGAATACTCATTTTAAAATCTTTGCTTATAAGTTTTTAGTCTTATTATGTTTTTACAAAATCTATAAAATTAGTATCCTTTCCAATTTTACAAATAAGATGGTAAGAGAGGGAAATAAGTTGTGTGATGTGGTGCATTTACTTAGTAACGGAAACCAGATTTAAACTTCAACAACACAATGTCAAAGAATATATTCTTGGCTACTGTAATTCGCACCCCTAATTGTAATATATATCCAGACATGAGAAAAATAAGCTTAAATACATAGTTGTGAGACTGACTCAGAAGTCATTAGACAGGTCCGGAGTACTGTGAAACCCATGCTCTTACCCTCCCAACACATATATCCATGATGTTCAGAGATTTAACTTTGAGCTCTTACTCTATAATTACATCTTAGAGGAAAAACTGAGAGGTGTATGAACTTTTGATCAGATGCCTTGCAGGGAAACCCCTTAGCTTGCTGTGACATGGTACAAGAAGTTTCATTAAATTTTATCTTGTGTCGTCATCTGCAAAGTGAGTTTAGGGAGGAAATATTGGAACACCTCGTAGAAGAATTGTGAATATTCAATAAAAAAATATTCAAAACATAGCACAATGTCCTTTATAAGATGCTCTCAGGGAGTGTCTTTCTGTACCAGTTGCTAACTATTAGCAACTAGCAAGGACCAAAAACCTCAAAAATAATCCAAGAGCAAGTTAATGTCATGTTTTCTCAAACAATAAGCAAAAAAGAAACACAGTGAATGAACTCTCTTGTAGAAATGATTTAGGCCATATCATTTTGTACACTCCAATGTCAGTCACCTCATACTAAGACCAGCATTGACGGTGCTAAGATACCTCCTAGAAAATGGTGTATTGATTTAAGATACCACTCTAATATGCAAAAGCCATCCATTTTATAACATATACCTGGCAATTTTAAAAGTTATGTTGAGCAGGAGAGAAATTGTGCTATTGCACATCAGGAAAGCAAAAGCACGCCAAAACTTACCACTTTCATCTCTTATCACTTCAAGATCACCTTCTTTTCCTTCCGTTGCATCTTGATTGGTGTTTGGTGAATCCTTCTTCACTAGGAAGAAAAAAAAAAAAAAAGTGGTTGCTTTACACACTGCTGACTTGAAAGATCAGTATCAAAATTCAGTTTATTCTTGGAATCCACTCCAAAATCTAACCTGAAAAGTAAGGACTTTCCAATTCACTGTAACTCCTAATCAGACACATAATTTCTAGTGTGGGGAGTTCATGGACATGACAACAATTTTTTTTTCATAATAAAATGTGTGTATCCTGAGTTCTTTTTCCCAATGAAGGCTGGCTGAAAATTTGATTGAAACTATTTCTCTTCAAAATCATTTCATTCTTTTGTTTTTCTACTTTTAGCTCTTATCAAAAGCAGAAACTAACAAAAATCTTTCAGTACTAACATGATGTTAAAAATAATGACATCAGCTTTGATGACCATGGAAGAAATCTGTTCCAGAATTAACCCCCCAGTAAAACATTAAAAACCAACCAACCTTCCCTTCCTTTGGACACCATTACCAAGTTACTTGCTATGTGTTTTATGTTTCCCTTATCACTAGAAAAATCTAGTAGGGACCTACTTTCATTCATTATCTGAAGTTTACACTCTGTGTATTTGCTTCCCCTGTTTCTTAAATGTAGAAAAAAAATGGGTTTGATGTTGTATATAATCTTACTTTAGTTGAGTAGATTTATCTTGTTACACACACACACACATATATATATATATATGAACTAACCAGAGCAATAGCAATGGCACTGGGTTTTATACATACATACATATATATGTATGGTACATTGTAGGGAGAAAAGGATAGAAAGTAGTAGAAACTAGTACTGATCCCGTCCCAGATAGAGCAGAGACCCTAAGCCAAACATTCGACCAAGGTGACTACATCTCTTCAAGAACTGAATTTGGTGTAATTTCCTCCATAAGCAGCTGAAGAATTCAATGCTCTGATAATGTAAGTTGTTTGTCTATATTCATCTAATGAATAATAAAAGAAGTGGACTTTAAGTGAGGTTGGGGATAATCTGAAATCCATGCACTTACCCTCCCAAACCATATATCCATGACATTCAGAGCTTTAACTTTGAGCTCTGGGTTTATAATATAACAACTACATCTTAGAGGAAGAATTGAGAGGTGTATGAACTCTTGATCTGCTAGCCTTACCTAGCTGTGACATGGTACAAGAAATTTCATTAAATTTTATCTCGTGTCCTCATCTAAAAGTGAGTTTAGGGAGGAAATATTGGACCACCTCATAGGAGAATTGTGAGTATTCAATAAAAAATAATTATTCAAAATATAGCATGATGTCCTTTATAAGATGTTCTCAGGGAGTGTCTTTCTGTACCGCTGACTATTAGCAACTGGCAAGGACCAAAAACCTCAAATATAACCCAAGAGCAAGTTAATGTCATGTTTTCTCAAACAATAAGCAAAAAAGAAACATAATGAATGAACTCCCTTGTGGAAATGATTCAGACCATATCATTTTGTACACTCCAATATCAGTCACCTCGTACCAAGACCAGCAATGACGGTGCTAAGATACCTCCTAGAAAATGGTGTATTGATTTAAGATATCACTCTATCTCATATGCAAAATCCATTCATTTTTATATCATATAGCAGGCAACTTTAAAAGTTATGTTGAGCAGGAGAGAAATTGTGCTATCCCACGTCAGGAAAGCAAAAGCATGGCAAAACTGACCACTTTTATCTCCTATCACTTCTAGATCACCTTCTTTTCCTTCCTTTGCATCTTGGTTGGTGTTCGGTAAACGCTTTTTCACTAGGAACCAAAAAAAAGTGGTTGCTTTACACACTGCTGACTTGAAAGATCAGTATCAAAATTCAGTTTATTCTTGGAATCCACTCCAAAATCTAACCTGCAAAGTAAGGGCTTTCCAATTCACTGTAACCCCTAATCACACAAATAGTTTTCTAATGTGGGGTTTTGTGGACATGACAAAAAAAATTTTCATAATCAATGTGCATTTGCTGAGTTCTTTTTCCCAATGAAGTTTGGCTGAAAACTTGGATGAAAATTTTTATCTCTTTTCAAAATCATTCTGTTCATTTGCTTTTGTAAGTTCATTAAGTTTTGTAAGTTTTGTAAGTTTTAGCTCTTATCAAAAACAGAAAGTAATAACAAAAACCCTTCAGTACTAAAATGATTTCAACAGTAATGAGATCAGCTTTGATGACCATGGAAGAAATCTGTTGCAGAATTAACCCCCAGTGAAACATTAAAAACTGTCCTCTTTGCTTTATGACCACCATGGCAATGGAACTTGCTGCGCACTTTATATTTCCCTTTTCACTAGAAAAATCTAGTAGGCACCTACTTTCAGTCGTTATCTGAAGTTTACACTCAGTGTATTTGCTTCCCCTGTTTCTTAAAAGTAGAAAAATGGGTTTAATATTGTAATCTTACTTTAGTTGAGTAAATTAATGTTGCTATATATATTTTTTAAAAAGCAAGTGCTATTGCTGAGGTTAGTTCATTTGGAACATAGTCAGGGTTCTGTTCAAATAAAATTTGGCCAGTGGGGAATTTAGAATTAAAGATGGTGAAGGATTAATTCTGAAATTCAATTATACAAAAAAAAAGTCTTCATAATTTTGTTAAGAGTTTATATCCTCCCCCCACCTCAACCTAAAAGAGGTTGTTAACAACTGGAAGAAAGGTCAGACTGATTCCTTTTAGACACACTCTGGGGCCTTTGGTCTGCTGTGTTCATCCTCAGGTTTCTATGTCCTGAGTCTATTGAGTTCTGGGACCACTATCCTGGGGTCCTTGTCGAGGTTTTGCCCAACTATTTAGATGTGTGCAGCCACTGTGTAAAGACACTCCTTCAGAACATCATTCCTGAATCACAAGTGACCCTCAGTGACTAGGAAAATAATATATTCTCTTTGCGATGTTGTCAGCCTCCTTGACATAGTCCTTCCTTGTGTGTTCATCCTCCCATCCCTGCCAGCCCCGTACTCACTGTTTACTGCAATACATGTGTGTGGAGATTCAATTATTAATGGTAAGAAATACATTCATTGAGTTACATCAAAGTATGAGTGTACACATTGGCCTCACTCATCTTTAAGTTTGAAATATTACCACTAGCTGGTATATAAGATACAAATCTGAAAAATCTAAGAACATAATAAAACTGCAGAACCAAATTATTCTATTTTTATAGGATTATCTCACTCCCTCTGTAGAACATGATTTTGTCTCCTAATAATTTTTTATTTGTTATTTATTAATTATATGATGAATAGATGTGAAAATATCTTTGCTTGATATTTAGAAAATCCTTGCAATATGTATAACTGTTCTTATTTCCTGATCAAACAAGATCATCAAAACAACGAAGGTTGAACATGTATTTGCAAGTTTCTTTCAAGCATAGTTTCCTTCAACCCCTCAAAAATTGACTTTCATTAATATAGATGATAAAACTGCAGTTGAGGAAATTTAGATAGATTTTTCCTTTTTTATTTTTTCAAAACCAATACTATTTTAATTTTATATGGTAGTAGAGGACAGTTATGTGAATGTCCAATGTAATATCTTAGAAATATTTAAAATTTTTCTTGTCATTGATAGTTAACAAAGTTGGGTATTTCCTTTGGAGAAGAATAGGGTCCTCGGAGGTTATATGTATATTTACATACATACCTTCATTTATTGAAGGAAAAACAATCTCTTGGTCATTGTTTTCATTATTAAACTCATGTTTGACAACACAAACGTGTTCTTTATCCATTGATGTTTTAGTCACCGTCAACCAGCTTAATTTCATGTACTTATTATCACCAGTCACTATGGGCCTTGTCTGCAGCGACTGTTGGATTTTGTTGCCATTCTTTTCTTTCCAGTCTACCTTAATAACATCAGGGAAAAATTCTTCAAGGAGACAGATATATGTTCCGGTCCCATCCACTTCCTTTTCAGTGACTGAAGGAAGAAAAACTGTGGGCTTAGGGGGAAAGCCTTTGCCGAATTTGTAATCTGTGGGGAAAATAGAGCAGCAATTAAAATGGATTACTGGAGAAGCACTAGGATTGTATTGCTTAGAAAATACTAGTTTTGAATGAAAGGAAAAAAGGATTCCATCATATTAGTTCTTACCAGTAGTGATCATTCCCACAATATTTTGTGAAGTACTTATTATTGTATTTTGGAAACGAAGTTCATGTATTTATATAACCTGTGCCCTAAGTCACAGCAATTAAGAAGCAGAGCCTGAATTAAAATCTGACCTTAATTCTTGCTACATAATAACATTAACGTGAGTTTTAACTGTCCCATGTCACGCTGCCCAAATTCAAGAACACATTTAGTTAGAACCGCTCTTTTGCTCTATTTTAGTGGAATAAATTTTCAAGGTGGATGATGGTGGAGATGAAGACTAGATAACTTTGGCAATATCTTCATAGATAGACTCTTCAAAAATAATTACATTCTCCACCCTGTGAGATTTATAACATATGAAAACATATTCTAATATTCTGCAACTCTGTAGAACGTTGCTCTTTACGAAACCTCTGAATGTTATTTTCCATATAGAAGATTATCATTTTTTAAGATTAACAGTCACTTGTTTCATGGGAATCATGCATGCTTAGCAGTTCACCAAGTTGAACATTCAGCTTCAGATGTGGATGCCCTGCACATTGAAAACAATAGAATTCTCCTAGTTGATGTCTAATTTTATGTGGCATTCAATTTCATATCTCAAACATTCCAGGTGTTTTAGTGCAACATTAGGTTCATTCCAGGTGCTTAGGGCAACATTAAAGCTATGCTCCAAATTATTTATGGTATAAATATTAGACACAAAAGAGAAATATTTCCAAAATTTCTATTAAAAATATATTATTATAGAAATGTTTTTCTATCATAATGTAGATATTATGTTATATTATTTATTTACTATGTTGTTTATTACATGCAATATAGTTAATATATCAGAATTTTCTTTCAATTTAGAAATGGATGAACAAAATCATATTTCATTTGGAATTTAATTTGAAATTTAACCAGAACTTATTATTTTCAATCTATTTTCTCTGTTTGCATCTGTCGTGTGTGGATGACTAATGAGTTGTCTCACAGTTCCATGACTATGTTTTCCTTTTCACCTGCTGAATAGAGTGTCTATATAGTTGGTCTATCACTACAATTACAGCTCCAGAGTTATTTGAAGAAGTAATATCAAAATAGATCACAAAACATCATACATTTAATTTTCACTAGCATGCCGAACCATTATATGATGATACATTTGCTGTTAATTAATGATTGAAAATTTAAATGTATAAATGCTTTCTAACTTGATTTCTGATTGAAACTCCTATCATCTAATTTTCATTTTGGGTAAGTTTGGAGTCAGTGGTGTAATTTCTTATGAAAAGAATTAAATATCTCATAAAGAGAAGGAAACAATTCTTGAGGAATCTGCCTGTGTATCAAAGCTCATGAGTTTTATACTAAAACAGTAATCAATATTTTTATTATGTTGTACAAATAATGAATTGACATTGCTTTCACTAATTTTGCACATTCTGTTATTAATGCAAATAGTATTTGTAGAACATAACTGCAAGATAGTGTGTACTTCTCCAAACTTGTACTTCATTTTTTATTTTAAAATCATGTTAGATAAAACATGATAATTTTTCAGTTGTGCAACACACTTGAATAATTTTAGTCTCTAATCAATAAGTTAAGTAATTTATTTCATTCTTAGTTGTTTTCTTCATAAGACTAGTTCAGATCACTGAATAAAACTGAAAGTCAGTCAATATATCTAGAAATTCCTATGTATGGTAATAAACTATTTTTACTTCTTATCCTTATCCTCAACTACATTATTTAAATTTTATTCTTCCCTGGATAAATGAATCTTGAAATTCCATAATATTCCTCATATAATATTTAACTAGATAATAAATTATTATATAGCTAATATCCACATTCTAAATCTTTATCTTGCTTTTTTTTCTTAAATTTTCTTTTAAAAGTTATCAGCAGTGTTGCTTATGGTCAAAATGTATATCATGACGCAAAGAAAGTAAACCAGATTAAAAAGGTAAATGAACTTGTCCAATTCATTTATATACATTAATTTCCATATTTCAGTAATAATTTGAGTTAAAAGTTCTCAGTTTTTTACATTTCTTAAGATTTGATAGCATTAATTTTATATAAATTTACAAATGTCAACCAAGTTTTTAACTGAAAGCATATTTCAAACCTGCATATTTATATTGACTGGTGTTCCAGATTTTTCTTATTACATTTTTGAATAAATAAGCTAAACATCAATAAGCCATAACTAAACATCAATTTCTAATTTATGTTATTTCTAACTGTATGTAATTGATTTTACATCATTACATCAATCCTATACCAATTACGTGTTATGGCTTCATTCACAATAACTCCTTTGATTGTCACAGAACTCTATCTGTGTATATACACTTGCACATATATACTGTTATCCCACTTAATGGGAAAGGAAACTGAGACCATAGAATATTCAACAAGACCATATAAGCACAAAGTAGTAGAACAGAGCTCCAGGTGGGTCTGACTCCAAAGTCCCAGCTCTTCTGCAAATTCTTTCACCATCAGAAAAGGTAATATGTCAACTCACAAAACTCTCCTGTAATAATAAACTCTGTTTTTAAGAGAAACACTATATAAGTCCACATGAGCACAAAACCAAATTCTATCCTAGTATCTGCCCAGTTTGCATATTAGATGCTTTATTACAAGGATTCATTTTAAAATCTCTTCTAAGATTTTACTTCACAGTCCTGTTTTTTTCCTGTACATTTTACAGTTAATTTAATTGGCTTTTGCCTTCCTTCAACTGCCTTGGGAAAAAAATTGCATTTTCTGATACTTACCTACAATAAGCTTTGTTCCGTCACCGAATATTTTTTCATAACTACACGGTGATTCAACCCATATCAAAAACATCAGCCTAATTTATTTTCACTGAGTTTTTCAGCTTCTAGTGAAACATATGATTGTCTGCAATTTGAGGATAAGGCTCTGCTCCTGGTATATTTTGGTCATGAGAAGTTGTGTGGATGAGAAAATCAAGAAAATTAGGTATAGGTTTTCCATGCTTACTTTCTATAAAAATAAGTGGACACTTCATTATTTATCTTCATGACTATAAATTTATATATTGAAGTTTCAAAACATAGCCTCATTTATTCTTTTAGAGAATTCCACTGGAAAATGAAAGATCACCTTAAAATTGTCTTTTAATCCTTTGGGTAAATTCTTAACACATTCTAATCATTTTGCAAAGGAGGAAACTATCAGTCATAGAAATTAGAGCTATTTTGCAAGCTTTGACCATTTGTTTGAATTGTAGATAAATGCAAATTAATACCTTCATTGAACTCCTAATTTCATAAAGAGTTCCTATGTGTAATAGCTTGAATTATGGAGAACATTAATAGTTCTCATCCCATGTTCCAACTTTGTGGCAAGATCATTTTGTACTTAATTTCACTTATTCCTCTCAGTGTTCACTCAAAATTACATTGACAAAATGAATGTATTGAAATATTTCATATTTTAGCTGTGATTACAATAACTTTAAAATTTAAAAATTTTAGTTTGTATTTCAATTTGTGCCTTATGGAAATGTGTTAATATTTGTTAATATTATTAACAGTATATATGGTATTAGCATTAAGATGATTATGCAGAGAGTAATAGCCTAGAATCAAAATCCTTATATTTTCTTGCACCACACCTTCCTAAAATAATTTTCCCATTTTTTATTATTTAATTTGATTGCTGTGATTACACTGTGCCTGTACTCAGCTTGAAAGAAGAATACCAGAAATCTTTGTTTCAATTTACAAATTCACTTATTCTTATGAGCACAAATACCAAAGAAACCACAATACAGCATTGCTTTCATTTTTTCAGTGCTTCATCAACTTGTGAAAAAATTTTGAAAACGTTCACTTGAATGGATCTATTAAGCAAGGAAAATGCTTGAGAGACGGTCTCCCCAATTCCAGGGGAAAAAATCCATCTTTTAGACTAATAAACAATGAAGAAATTTATTGAAATGAATTTAGAAAAAGGAGACTTGTAGGTAGTAGAGATCTTATTTGGGTATTTTTACAACTGTTCGATAGTTAGTTAGAAACCCCTTAATTTCATTACAATTTTGTAATGAAGTTTAAGAATCTCGCCATTGTTCTGTTTTGTAGCTTTAATATTTCTGGAAATGTGATACCTACTCAGAGAGAAAATTGAATGGAATAATGTAAGATGGACTTGTCATTTCACAGAAGCACTGTTAAGAATCGTATTAATAAGTGCATAATCAGCATGACTGCAGATTTTTGTAGTAGAGGTGAAATTTCCATGCCATGATTAGAAGAGGAGTTTTTTTTTTTCATACCTGAGCAGTAACACAAATGATCAACTATTACTGACTAGGTGGGTAATTACATTTATTTAAGAATTTCATTTAAGAAATCAGGCTATGGAATGATAAAAACTTAGAATATACAAGGGGCAATATTTCAATTAGCACATAGTGGCACAGAATCATGCACCTTGAAATGCAAAAGTTCCTGTGAATCCATAGAATCTAGTCATGTGACATTAGATAAATAACAGAACTCATTAAACCTTCATTTCCTTATCTTTAATAGGGGGGATAGGACTGTTGAGGAATGAGATAAGACACTGAAGCAATTTAATATGGTATCTGACCATCAAAAATCATTACATAATATTGTTCTCCTTAATGGGATCATTTTGGGGCATTTTATAAAATTCTTCAGAAAACAAAGTACACGGATTTTGCAAGCAGTAACTATAGTATATAAATTAACAAAGAAAAATGCCCTTGAATCCAAGATTTCACAGTTAGCCACAGATCAAAATATATCAATCCCAAAGAATCCAGACTCTAGAATGCTTGCCCACTAAACTAGAAGGTTTTGAAGTGTTGGTACTGTCTCTTATTCACTCTTATGTACTTGCATCCAACACATGCACAAAATTCCTTTATCAGTAGTTGCTGGGAAAATGAATGAGCAAATGAGAATATAAAACCACGTAGTCTCTTTTCATGGAATTAGGTGATGAAATGGCATTTTGAATTCAGTTTCATAAACCATTTCTAGGCAAAACGATGAGTCAGAGTAGCAAAATTTTAGATTGGTCTCACTCTACTTCTAAGAACTAGAGTAATCAGAGCAAGTAAAATTTATTCAAGTTCTAAAAAATAATATGGGTTATTTCTTTCATTGGTGTTAAAAGTGAGGTTAAACACAATCATATAGGTTTTGTGGGATCTTGTTTAAACTCAAACATGGAGAAGCCAACTTGAAGACTGATTATAAGATGGGTATCTTACACTTTATGGTAACAGCTTATAGATATGGTTCCTCAAGTATTTTTATGCCTAATCTGAGTCAGTCATTTTATGTGTATTTTCATAAGTTGAATTTAAATCTGCTTATAAGTAAAAAAATGAAGAAGACATTTATGAAGTTATTTAGTTTATATACATAGTAAACAGTAGCAACAAGATTACTAACCCTATACTAAGGCCATATGCTTAGCCACAAGCTTAATATACAGAGAAAAATAGATACATACATGCATAGCTACATAGACAAACAGATAGATAGAATCTTCACTTGCTTTTTTTTTTTTCTAAACAGCACCTATCAGTTACACAAAAGAAAATATAGAAAAAAGGTTACTTACCAGGAGGAATTACTGTGAGCTTAGTCCCTTCTCCAAATATCTTGATCCATCCTGAACTATCACATTGGTTACAGCTTCTACAAAAATCTGATATTCTCCTAAGAGTCATGATATGACAACCAGGTAAAACACATAGTACAGAAAATATGAATCTGAGTTCCTTTGGAACTCCTGCAATGTAAGGTTGGCAGGATCTGATATTTCATGTTTTCCCCAGATAAATCGATATGCATTTGTTTTTCACTGATGTAGCAATCATTGAAAAGTGGTGATAGAAAATAGAAAGCATAAGTGCAACAAAAGAGTTAATGACCAACGTCAAACACTTTTATAAATTACCATGGGAAAGTATTCAGATGATTTTAATATCCAGGTGTTCAATTATGTAAAATCTCTCAGATATTGCATCAAAGGACAGTGCCTTTTATTCTCACCCACACCAGGGCTGATCCATTTGTTATTTAGGAAAAGATTTCTCAACAGAGGAAGTGCTTCAGTAACTGAAAATGCAAATATACCAACATGAATATATTTGGAAATAAGAGCACAGTTCTCAGTTTTGTTTTGTTTTGTTTTGTTTTGTTTTTAATAGAAGTAACATTGGTTTATGCGAACTAACTTTCAGGTATATAGTATTATATTTCAACATCTATAGACTATATCATGGTCATTACTACAATTCTAGTTTCCATCACCTTCATATCATTAACATCTTTTCCCATTTATTCACCACCAAAATCCTGTGTTTTTAATAAAGTTATGTTTCCATTTAGCAACATTATGATTTACATCTTACGGAACAAAGGATCCCCCATTTTAACTAAATCTGAAAAAAATAATATCGAATGTTCTGACATGTTGACAGAAGAAGGTTGTTGGAGGCTTTTCTGTATCTTAATGCTTCTCATCTTGGATCAGGGATTAAAGAAATGTCATGGAGGATCTGAATGCCCTTCTGAGTATAAAAGTAAAGTCTATCTTCAGGATACAGATTGGTCATGTGAGTGTATATGGACCCACTCCAGTATTCCTGATGTTGCCTAACTCCTCTAAGCAAGCATTACTTCCCCCATGAAAATTAAAGTACATGTGGACATGGTGTGCAAAAGCTCATTCACTGCAGCTCACAGACCACAATACAGTGATACAGTGGGACAAGCGAAAGAGCAGGATGGAAAATATGATTGGAAGGGTTTTTTTTTTTTTTTTTATAAATAGAGCATTCCAAATTATCCCTAGCTGGAGCTGTATCTACCCTGTGCATATATGCACTTTAGTGATGCATACTCAATCTCTTTCTGACACTTTGTTGTCAGACTTTTTCTATAGTAAGACCATGAGCAAAAATCATCAGATCCTTTACTGTTTATGTGTCAAGACTCTAAAGTATTTAAATAGCACAATTCAAGAGTAGGCAAATATTTTTAAATCTTTTATTAAAATTTCAAATTGAGGACCCTCCCAGGTGGCACAGTGGGTTAAAGCTCAGCACTAGGAAGCTACCACAGCCACTTCAGCACTACTCTGATTCCCAGACAGGGAGCTGACCCACATGGTGTAGCAGACCAACCCTGTCTCTCCTGCTGCCCCCCTCAGCAGTGTACTTTGTCCATCTGCTTGTTCTGCTACCCACTCTGTGTCTGGTGAATCCATTCACCACCCTAGCACCTCTGGCCTGTACCCCAGTTCTGTATGCATAAATAAATAAATCTTAAATTTTTTTCAAAATCTGTATGAAGAGCAAATATAGATTTTAATAGAAAAGCAGCAAGATGGTGACAGAATGAAAGCTTGTGACTCAACTCCTTCTTATATACTCAGCTATAGAAGGGCAAAACAAAGTCAATAATTCCTGAAGGAAAAACTTAGAACAACAGCAGATTCTAGAAATAACTCCAAATGAGAGTAGGCCAGAGTGAATAGTGGAGCCAGACAAGATGCAACTTGGAGATGTGAAGAGGACTTAGATATCCCAGGAGACCCCACATGCAGCCACTGTCTCAGAACAGAACACGACTGTGTCCCTGCTGTGGTAGACCCTAGAGAATCACAGACACAAACCTAGCACCCCTTCCATGAGTCACAAGTCACATCCAAAAAACATAGGCTGATCTTCTTCCTATGAGCACAAACACCAGCACAGCAAGGGAGTGTACCCTGTAAGTTATAGACCCTCCACTCCTACTGGGCTGCCAGTTAGTGTGCTTCCTCTCCAACAGCCACTGGTTGTCAGTACTGCTGCCAGGTATGGAATCCATTAGTCACCAGCCACCCACCATGAAAACTACTCACCATTCACAGCCCTGGAGACCAGCTCCAGGGCTTGACCAGCAGAGCCTGATTCCAACCAGAGGCAGTATTTAGCCTCGTTAGTTAAAGGGGCAGAGTTCAAGAAATGGCATCACGAATAGAAATAGGATTGATTATCCCTTGTACAGCAGAAACCAGCACAGACTTCAACAGAGTTGACACTGAGGAGTTACACCATATACTAAACAGGAAGTGGGTAGAGAGAGTTACCTGAGGATTGTGGGCTGGAGCGCAGGACACAATGGCAGCGCTGTCAGATCATCCATGAAAGCAGGAGTAGGGGGAGACCAGAGGATGCATGAAGGCATATACCCTTGAAGGAGGTGAAAATATTATGGAGGAACTGGGATGCCCTACACAGGGCGGGTCTCTGGTAGGAAAATTAGGAGAGAAAGCATTCTGGTTTACAGTCTTCTTTCCTACACACTGAGACTTGTTCTGTCCTTATGAGGTACAATGAATGCACAAGGAATGCCAAGTCACTCCCCTCACACCCCAAAAAGGAAGGATACTGGGGTTACCACAGGATGACCTAGCCACACTCTTCACACCAAGATTTGGAATTTTCCAAGTTCCTCCCATACCTTATTGACATAGCAATTACAAAACAGATCCCAATACATCCAGAATTCAGCAAAGGCAAAAATACAGGAAGTCAGACAAAACATCCCCTGCCAGGAAAGTCAAATGTTTAGTCACATAAATTACTCCTAGAAATCTCAAAATAATAATAAAATAAGGTGACCACAAGTAGCAAAAAGGGCAGGCCAAAAAGTATAACTTAGGAAACCTCATGATTGCACAGTAAAAGTGAATAAAACTTTCTGGAATGCAAACAAACAAAAAAAAAGATGAAGACTATATATCTCCTTATCAGATAAAACTTCTATAATAAAAAAAAAGAAGAAAATAAGTCAAAGTTATATAAGAGAACTGAGAAAGCAAATCCAAGAAAACTCAAGAGAATTCAGAAAATTAATCAGAGACCCAACAAATTCAAGGAAAAAAGGGAACAAGTTCAGAAATAAATCCATGAACAAATAATAGAAATTCAAGCTCACAGAACGGGAAATCAAGGAGCAAAATTCTCAGTAAATTCGATGGACAAATCCTAAAGAAGGCTATATTAGTAGAATATATCCAATGGAGAGTAAAATCAGTTACCTCAAAGATAATAATGCAAGGACCAAGGTAGAAAACGAGGAACAAGATGCAATAATGATACTATATATAATATATGTAATAATAATCTCATAATATATAATTGTTTTTATACAAATATGACTTATTACATTGATTTATCATATATAAAATAAGTATATATGGTATGTAATAGACATGTGATATATTATGTATAATTTCTATATATATTATGTTATACCGTATATAATTATTATATAATAGGTATATATATAATGTACTTAAATATTTGTTTTATTTACTTATATGTAGTATTATATCTTTACATTTACATTTATTATAGTATAATTATTATGAGGCAGATTGAGAGTTGTCCAACACCATTAAAGAAGTCAACATAAGAATATTGTGTATCCCAAAAGGGAAAGGGTGGTGGCAGAGTGGGGATTGGGAACTAGTGGTAGATATAGAAACTGATCAAGGAAATAACAGAGGAAAACTTTCTGCACATGAGGAAGTAATTAAATATACAAATCCATGAAGCTAAAAAAAATGAAAAAAAAAAAAAAAACCCTGGTGATCTATGTGCAACAAGAACTACACCAAAACAAATAGATGAATTTAGCAATATTACAAGACAAGGAATACATATTGAAGGCCAAGTTAGGGGAAAGCAGGTAAATTAAGAAAGGACTCTGATCAAGTTTACATAATATTTGTCAATAGAATCTGTAAAGCAGAGAAGAGAATGAATGATGTTCTTGAAATACTTAAAAATAAAATTTTCAATTTCAAAATACTATATCCAGGAACACTCTACTTCAGATAAAGAGAAATAAAGACCAGCCCAGGAAATAAAACAAAACAACAACAACTAAGGTACATGTAAACACTAGACCTCACTTATTTTGAAAATTTGAAAGGAACACTTTTACTTCATTCAAAGTGAGAGAATCCAGAATCTTAAATAAGGAAATAAATAATCATATATAACCTGAAAATTTAAGACAATATTGCAGTAGAAAACCTTCACATATCTGTAATCATTTTGAGTGATTGTGAGTGCACTAAATTTGTCAATCAAGTCTCAGAATGGTTGATTGGACATGAAAACAAACCCCAACTTCTGGTGCCTCCAGGAGTTTCATCTAAGATCCAGAGATAAGCACAGACTCAAAGTAAAGACAGGAAAACAATCAAACCAACACATAGAAATTTAGAGATAACCATCCTTATGTCAGAAAAAAAAAAAGTCCAGCTAAAAAGGATAGCAAGGGACAGGAATCTATATTTTACAATGACTAAGGTATCAATACCTCAAGACTTACTCATAAAACATATACAGTAAATGAAGAAGAATATTCCACACTATATAAGACAACTGTTAACAAACCTAAAACCAGACATTGTCTGCAAAACAGTAGTAGAAGGACACTTCAATATCATTACATTAATGGACAGATAACCAGACAGAACAAAAACAAGGAAACAATCATCTTTAATAAGGAATTAGCTCACATCACGTTCGTTTGATTGTTTTCCTGTCTTTACTTTGAGTCTGTAGAGCACGTCACCCCCGAAAAAGCTGAATACATATTTTTATGAAATGT